AATGGTGGATGATCTGGAGGAATTACTTCAGGGATTTCCCCATCATGCCAATTAATTTGCATTATCTTTGACTATGCTTTCTTGGGCTTGGCATCAGAACCTGGATATGCAATTAAAGAGAATAACAGGAAAAGTAGCGATATACATCGGCAACTTTGGCCCGTCCCGTACATCAACAAACGTGTGAATTTCGCCTTTGTTTAACCCTGACGGGTTTGAACCTAAGTCTGGGGTCAAAATAGATGTTATTTTCGTCATCAGCGCCCTCAAAAACATAAGAAATAATGCAAAAACTCGAATAAAAAGAATGTCCAAAATATACCCCTCTGGGATTTGAACCCGGGTCCAAACTTCTCCGATTCACTTGAAACTGGCACCGTTGGTTTTGTCTCGTCACCCCGATTCCAAAAATACCCTTACATGCCCTGCTAGCTGTATCCGTTGCCGAAATCCTCCCCGACCCCATGTAGACCATGATGCACCTGCAGCAGCGCCCCCGGGGCTCGGATCGGATTTGCTGCCACCGGGCAGTTCTTAGGGTCACCCAAGGAGGCTGCATACCAAATTTGGTCAAGATCGGACCACGGGAAGTCCTCGGACGAACGAACGAACGGACGAACGAACGAACGAACGAACGAACGAACGAACGGACGGACGCACAGCATGCATCATACTATATGCCCGTCCCTCCGTCATTTTTTTTACAAAAAAATAACGGGACGGGCCAAAAAGAATGAAATTGACAAATTATTCAAGAATTTCCACCAACATTCAAAACAGAAATCTTTTTCAAAAAAAAAATTATGCATTGAGAAAAGAAGGAAGGAAGTTACTCACTGGCTTTGGCAGAGGCTTTTTGTTTTTTAGTTCTGAATCGTGCTGACTTGGAAGAAGCAGGACGAGCACTACGACTAGTATCTTGCGTAGGCTGTGAGCAATGTGCTTCAAGCTCAGAATCATCGGCTGTAAATTACAAAACCACGGTAATCAATTCAGTTTCACAAATCTAATTGAGAAAGCAGCTCAATATCAAGCAAACCAACTTCGTACCCATATAATGTGCTAAATTATCATCATTCTCCTGAGCTATAGGTGAAAGTATGCGAGACATATCAACTGAACGTAATCTCCCTCCTGTAACAGAACAGAATAACAAGCTAGGGCCCGCCCTTCCGTCGAACCGAGTTGCCAGCTCCGCTTCGCTGCGCCGGCAACTCGGTTCGACAGGGGGCCGGCCCAGCTTGGCCTGCCGGCGGCCTTTTCTCGGGCCTTCGGCCCTCGCATCAGACCCAACTTGGCCAGTCGAAGGCCCGGGCCTTCGGCCCGCTCGCATCACACACACCGTGAGCGGGTAAAGCAAAGTTATCGATGTACCATCGTGACTTAGGCCCGCCCTTCTATTCACAATATGCAATAGTCCTTACACTTTTTACTCCAACTGTCCATTTCATTTGTCTCTTCGCCCTCATTCCGAAAATACCCATATTTGCCATGCTACTGCAACTCCTTGCAATAGAGGCACAGCAGGAGCGCAAAACGAGTCCGTCGCAGTTTTTCCCATAACTCATGAAGGCGGGCCCCTGGACCCCCCTTCCGACCCCTCGTTAAAGAGGTCTTGCCAAGACCTATCCAAAACTTAAGTAAAAATTTTCAGTCGGTCGACCCCCTTTTTTCAAGATCCTGATGTGACTAAAAGACGAAGTCGGGCTCCTGGACCCCCTTTCCGACCCCTCGTTGAAAAGGTCTTGCTGAGACCAATCGAAATCTGCAATAAATTTTTTTGGCGAGCGATAGCGAGCCCTTGCCGTGTTTGGGCGCTCCAAAAAGTGACTGGTCGTGCGTCTGTCTGTCTGTAGCGTACACGCTCACGTTTCTCAGCAACTACAACACTAATAGTTACCAAATTTTGCACCGAACATCCCCTAAAGGTCCCACAGGGGGAGTTTATCTTATATTCACGATTACTACCGTTTGAAATATTCAAAACATCTTTTTGAATTAGGTTCTTAGCGTGGTTAGGTTGGCAGCATATATAGCAATTTTTCATACTTGCGGCCGCGGCTCTCAAATACGGGACTGGCAAAACATTGGCAAATAAAACAAAATAGAGAGGAGAAGGGCTTAGAAGTGAGTTCGGTCTTAGTTTTTCGATATTCTAGAATGATTGAAACCCCTCCGGAGTATCAACACAGTGAAATACGGAAAATGAAAGTGACAATTATTACGCGTTTCGTCCGTCCGTCCGCCCCCTCCCCTCCCCCGCCACAGGGGAAATGTTTTAGTCAGTGGAGTGTGTTTGATCGTTTGATAATTGCAAGAATGATTTGGTCTTTTTAAGTTTTGAGAGTGTATTTCCATTTTTATTCTCAGACATTATACTTTTTAGTTGTTTGCTTTGCTCAATAACAGTTAGAAAGTAGATCAATGCAATCTAAAAGTACAAACATCTTGCCAAAATAAATAGTCTTTGCTGACTCTTGGCACTGACTCGGGGGAAAAGGCTTCATAGCAATGCTGTAAGTTTACTATAGTACTAACCTTAAAGATAACTATATGGTGAGTGAGAGTAGCGCATACATGGTTTGACTTTGACATCTGATTCAATGAGACGATTCAGTGACTTGGTTATATGATTTCATGAGACGACTCTTTTAAATTCATCATACATTGTCTGCGACAACTGGTAATTTGTGTCAGTCATGGTATGAGTTGGCTGTCTTTTTAATTTTTTCAGAATGTTAGGTAAATACTTATGCTATACTGTTTTAGATTAAATATCACATCATGACTATCTTTATGAATAAGATTAACTTGCGTTTAGCAATAAGTGGGCTCGACATTGAATCAAATGGAACGATTCATTGGATCTGGCAGAAGGTCTTCTCCGTAAAGTAGTTGCAATCAGCCTGCCTGTAAATGTGTCTCTTTTTAATTAATTGAGATAAATCAATGTAGTTTTATCCACTAGTTTAAAATAAAAAGGAGATAAAAGGCGTTTTAGGTATTACTTATAACATTGTGTATTCATAAGTTCAATAACAAGGAGATATCGAATGGTAATTGAAGCATTTGTGAATCGTATTAAGTAATTCAATGCTGGCTGTTGAATGTTACTCGACTGAGTAACAGTGTCAGGGTTCATGTTACGACACAATGAACAGGAAACACACTTAGGAATTGCGAAAATGACTTCCAATTTCATCCCAGACCATTACTTTTCCCAAAATTTACCAATTTCTGACCAAAATTTTGAAGTCGTGTTCTACATAGTCTCCTGCAGTTTTGGGTGTGCTGATCACGAAAATGACTTCCAATTTCATCCCAGACCTTTACTTTTCCAAATATTTCCCAATTTCGGACCAAAATTTTTGAGTCGAGTTATACATAGTTTCCTGCAGTTTTTGGTGTGCTGATCACGAAAATGACCTCCAATTTCATGTCAGACCTTTACTTTTCCAAATATTTACCAATTTTGGACCAAAATTTTTGAGTCAAGTTTTACATAGTTTCCTGCAGTTTTTGGTGTGCTGATCACGAAAATGACTTCCAATTTCATCCCAGACCTTTACTTTTCCCAAAATTTACCAATTTGTGACCAAAATTTCAAAGTTGAGTTTCCCATTGTTTCCTGCATTTTATTTCAGTAAGATAATCACGAAAATGACATGAATTCCGGCCCTTTCGTGACGGAAGACACTGTATTGGCCTTATTGTGCACATATTCTTCGCCATCTCCTATAAGAATGTGTTCAGATGCATCGCTCGCCTACTACGCGCCCAAACTAAACGGCGCGTACCCCTAGTTTAGTCGGTCGACCCCCTTTTATGAAGATCCTGATCTGGCCAACTTGTAAAAGCGGCCGATGGGGTCGGGACCAGGTCCATTCATCTTGTCTCGTCGCCCCGATTCCAAAAATACCCCTATGTGCCCTGCTAGCACCAATAATGGCGGAAATCCCCCTCCCGCTCATGTAATCCATGATGCACCTGCAGCAGCCTTTGTGCGACCCGGACGGGATTTGCACCACCGGATTATTTGTTTTGACGGTACTCCTGAAGTACCCTCAAAATCTGGTTACTCTAGCTCAACTCCTTCCTTGTACACAGACGCCAACAACAACAACAACAACAACACACAGACACAAAGGCAAATGCATAGGCCCTCCCCCTATTTTTTGAATAGAAGGGCGGGCCAAAAAGGCTTAACACTAGTAACAAATAAAAACAATTTTGCAGAAAAACTAAAAAGTAAATCTTACCTTCTAAAGATTCAGATGGCGACGATGCACTAAAGCATTGTTTCCGCTCAGAGTGCTTCTCTGTGAAGTTCAGCGTGCCATTCGAAACAGGTTTTTTCTTCCTCAAAGCAATGCCAAACCCTTTATTAAAAAGAATTCAATCCTTTTTTTTATAACAAGAAAAAAAAAACACAAATAATGAAGAGTCAAGGTGCTACCACAATGAAGTCAACAACTCATCACGCATCAACTTGTGTTTTCATTGGTAAGGACTTGGAAGTTACATGGTTACCCTCTATAATCAAAATGCAACACAATATCGTAAACAACATTATTCCTTATGCCTTTGGACTAATTTTAGTCTGTTCATCACCATATAGTATATGTTAGAAACAAAATAAAATAGGTAATTTGAATTAGTTACATCAGACAATTTTATTTTTGTTATAAAATTATGTGTGCGGTGATGAAAAGACTTCAATTAGTCTAAAGACATCAGGAACAATGTTGTTAACAATATTGCATAACATTCTGATTACAGAGAGTGACAATATGGCTTACAAGTCCTTACAAATAAAACACTTAAAACACAATTTGATGAATGATGAGTTTGATGAGGCCAGTATAGAAGCACCTTCACATTTATGTGATGCATACCAGTCTTTACATCAGGGGCATTTTCACTAAAAGTTTTTGATCCTGAAGCAATGTCACCTAACTTGGAACCACTTGTGTGCAACCTTTTGCACGGGGAACGTTGTTTTGCAGGGCTACTTTTAGATTTGAGGTCTAAGTTGGTAGAAGTGGAAGAAATATTTTCTATCCCCTTGTGACCTGACAGCAACAAATGGAGACATGAATGAAATCAAAATAATTTGTAGAAGTAAAAGCTTTGTATTTTTCAAAACAAAAAATATTTTAACAAATATTATACAACTTACCAGGCTTACACCAGCAGGCCTGGCAGATGACATCAGCACCATGCCCTTCACCAGCTCCTGGGGCAGGAACGCTGCAGCCAGGCAATGCATGGACCGCTGCTCTACACTTGACACATTTGTGGGCACCATTGGGATCTGGAGCATTCCCAAGAGAACATGCAACGCAGGATGTTTTGATGTCACCGATAAAGATGAAGCAGCGTTTGAGTAAAAAGCACAAAGATAAAGAACTTGGGCGTATTCAATTGTCATGACTGAGCAAAGAAAATGATTAGGCATGGTTGTGACACTACAAGGATTGTTAGCAGTGACAGTCTTACCATCAGCTACATTTTTCAGAGCCAATTGAATTGAATTGCTGCTTTTGTCGGTGGGAAGGTCCTTTAGAATATTGTTATTCAAGTCAGTTTGGACTCTTGAAGCTATTTCCAGTGACTGGTGTGTTGAAGAATTTTCACCTAATATTGCAGACATAAAATTGACACTCGCGCTGCTCGCTGGGGGCTCCGCCCCCAGACCCCCGCATGTGTGGGGCGCGTGCCGAAGTATTTTCAGTAAGTCCGTGGTGACCAAAGGCTAATTTTCTAAGGAAGTAAATGTACTGCTTCTATGAAAGGCCTATTTAACAGCTTTAGACCATATAATAAGCTACTTTTACTGCCCAAATAGATAGCTTGTATTGCATTCGCTACTGTGGCAGTCAATGGGTGCATACAAGGTCCGGAAAATATTGAAGACTGCTTTGACAAGGATAGAGGTGAATGGAAAAAAACGCAAGTCTCTACGACCACCCCTTGACCCTAAACATTTCTATGAGTGAGTGAGTGAGTCAGTGAGTGAGTCAGTCGGATTGGGGCTTTATAGGTTCTTGATTGATGACTTTGAGGACGTTGCCGGTGACGGGGCCTGATTGCGGCATAGTTTCGGAAATGTCTTGACCAGACCTACCGATAGGGCAAATAAAAATTTTCAGTCGGTCGGTCCCCTTTTATGAAGATTGAGTGGATTTTGTTGAATTTAGGCCTTTTTAATCGTTTTGAGGGTGTTGCCGGTGACGGGGACCCGATTGCGGCACAGTTTCGGAAATGTCTCGACCAGACCTACCGATAGGGCGAAAAAAAATTTTCAGTCGGTCGGCCCCCTCTTTTGAAGATTGAGTGGTTTTTGGTTGAATTTAGGCCTATTTTGATATTTTTATATCGTTTTCAGGATGTTGCCGGTGACGGGGACCAGATTCCGGCACAGTTTTGGAAATGTCAAGACCAGACCTACCGATAGGGCGAATAAAATTTTTAGTCGGTCGGTCCCCTTTTTCGAAGATGGAGTGGGTTTTGTTGAATTTAGGCCTTTTAATCGTTTTGAGGGTGTTGCCGGTGACGGGGACCCGATTGCGGCACAGTTTCGGAAATGTCTCGACCAGACCTACCGATAGGGAAAATAAAAATTTTCAGTCGGTCGGTCCCCTTTTTTGAAGATTGAGTGGTTTTTGTTAAATTTAGGCCTATTTAATCGTTTTGAGGGCGTTGCCGGTGACGGGGACCAGATTGCGGCACAGTTTTGGAAATGTCGAGACCAGACCTACCGATAGGGCGAATAAAAATTTTTAGTCGGTCGGTCCCCTTTTTCGAAGATTGAGTGGGTTTTGTTGAATTTAGGCCTATTTAATCGTTTTGGGGGGTGTTGCCGGTGACGGGGACCCGATTGCGGCACAGTTTTGGAAATGACTCGACCAGACCTACCGATAGGGTGAATAAAATTTTCAGTCGGTCGGTCCCCTTTATTGAAGATTGAGTGGATTTTGTTGAATTTAGGCCTATTTTTATCGTTTTGAGGATGTTGCCGGTGACGGAGACCCCATTGTGGCATAGTTTCGGAAATGTCTCGACCAGACCTACCGATAGGGTGAATAAAAATTTTCAGTCGGTCGGTCCCCTTTTTTGAAGTTTGAGTGGATTTTGTTGAATTTGGGCCTTTTTTTTATCGTTTTGAGGATGTTGCCGGTGACGGAGACCCCATTGTGGCATAGTTTCGGAAAGTCTCGACCAGACCTACCGATGGGGCGAATAAAAATTTTAGTCGGTCGGTCCCCTTTTTTGAAGATTGAGTGGATTTTGTTAAATTTAGGCCTATTTTATCGTTTTTGAGGATGTTGCCGGTGACAAGAACCCGATTGCGGCACAGTTTCGGAAATGTCTCGACCAGACCTACCGATGGGGCGAATAAAAATTTCTAGTCGGTCGGTCCCCTTTTTTGAAGATTGAGTAGGTTTGCTCGGAAACGGTGAGAAATTTGTTCCCCTTTTTTGTAGATAAAGTAGGTTTTCTCGGAAACGGTGAGGAATTTTCAACTTTTGGGATTTTTCCCAATTTTCCCATAAAATTTGGAATCGAATGGAAAAAACCGCAAGTCTCTACGACCACTCCTTCACCCCAAACATTTCTATGAGTGAGTGAGTGAGTGAGTCAGTGAGTCAGTGAGTGAGTCAGTCGGATTGGGGCTTTATAGGTTCTTGATTTTGAATAAAGTCCACAATATTCTTGTTATCATGATAAATAATTAGACAAATACTCACTGGCACTGGCAGAAGACAGAGGAGATTTGGTTTTGCGCTTCAAACTATTTGTTGAGCGAGTTGACCTTGTTAAACTCCCATTGCGCTGTTTGTTTTTGGTTCCTGAAGGTTTGAAAGGGATAAAATGGGTGCTGCCAGCACCTTTGAGAGCCAGCTCAACCGTGCTCTTGGAACCTGTACACAGTAAATAAGAAATAAAAGTTGAAGGAAAGTAATAAACCAACAATAAAAGAGTAGTGAAGTACCTGTGTTCTCAACAACTTTCATTGTATGAATTGGATCCATAGGAACTTCAAAGTCCAAACAACGTTCCTGAGTCTTAGGTTGACCTTTAGGCAAAATGTTTGATCCGAAAGAAAAGCCGCCTAACTTGGAACTACTTGTGTGCAACCTTTTGAACGGGGAAGGTTGTTTTGCAGGGCTACTTTTAGATTTAAGATCCAAGTTGGTAGAATTGGAAGAAATATTTTCTTTCCCCTTGTGACCTGACAGCAAAAAATGAAGACATGAATAAAATCAAAATAATTTGTACATGTAAAATTTCAAACACAGAGATAAAGAACTTGTGCGTATTTGATTATTATGACCAGGCACGGAAAATGATCAGGAATGGTTTCTACACTGCAAGGATTGCTGGCAGTGATAGTCTTACCATCAAATAAAATTGAATTGTTTGTTTTGTTGGTGGAAAAATCCCCCAAAATACCGCTGTTCAGGTCAGTAGAGACTGTTGAAGCAATTTCCTGTGACTGGTGTGTTGAAGAATTTTCACCTAATATTGCAGATATAAAATTGACATTTAGATTGAGGTCAGCCATTTTCTTGTGTTCATTTCTAAATAAAGAGACAAATACTCACTGGCACTGGCAGAAGAGATGGGAGATTTTGGTTTGCGTTTCAAACTTGTGTTTGCACGAGTTGACCTTGTAATGGTCTCGTTTTGCTTATTTCTTCTGGCTCTTGAAGGTTTGGAAGAGATAGAATCAGTGTTGCTTGGTGCTCTGAAAGCTAGCTCAATCATGCTCTTGGAACCTGTACAAAGATAGAAATAAAGTTTAAGAGGAAATAATAAAATTATAAATAAATAAATAAATAAATAAATAAAAAAATAAACAAATCAACAATAAAATAGTGAAGTACCTTTGTTCTCAACAACTTTTGTTGTAGGAATTGCATCCAAGGGAACTGTGAAGTCCATAGAACGTTCATGAGTCTTAGAATCCTGGACTACATTTACAACATTTTCAACAGGTGATGGAAGATGATCACAGTTTTCTTGTGGTAAAGTGTGGAAAATTTCTAGTCGGTCGGTCCCCTTTTTTGAAGATTGAGTGGATTTTGTTAAATTTAGGCCTATTTTATCGTTTTTGAGGATGTTGCCGGTGACGAGGACCCGATTTCGGCACAGTTTCGGAAATGTCTCGACCAGACCTACCGATGGGGCGAATAAAAATTTCTAGTCGGTCGGTCCCCTTTTTTGAAGATTGAGTAGGTTTGCTCGGAAACGGTGAGAAATTTGTTCCCCTTTTTTGTAGATAAAGTAGGTTTTCTCGGAAACGGTGAGGAATTTTCAACTTTTGGGATTTTTCCCAATTTTCCCATAAAATATGGAATCGAATGGAAACCGCAAGTCTCTACGACCACTCCTTCACCCCAAACATTTCTATGAGTGAGTGAGTCAGTGAGTCAGTGAGTCAGTGAGTGAGTCAGTCGGATTGGGGCTTTATAGGTTCTTGATTACCTGTTTGTGGCTGTCTTCTTCCGGGCTGGTTTCTGGAACGAGGAAGGAATCAGTCCGTTTCTGTGGCCAGCGGCTAATAGATTCATCTGATCCATCTGAGTGAGAAACTAGTCCCCAGAACCTCAGCTGCTGTAACGAGCACTTGTTTCCTGGATTGCTGAATTGACTTGTTCGGCTCCAGCAATTCATCATTGTCGGATGATGAACCATCTGAGTCCACATTGTTAGATGGTATAACAGTTATCAAGTCTTTATGGTAAAACTTCAGGGATGATATTGGCCGCATGATGACATTTCCTATAACAAAATTAAATAAATTTAAAAAAATACATGTGTTGCCAAGGGACTGACAACTAAAAATGCGACAAGAATCCAAGCATCAAGTTCAATATCGGTACAATTCAAGCTAAGTTTGAAAGATGGTTTATAACATGTTTAAGTCTAAATGCAAGTCTAAAGGAAGGTCACCACTGGATATCAGAGAAATGCAAGGACGGCATGGCCCAAATTCACTGAGGAGATTCAAAGAAAAGGTAAACAAAAACAAACAAGACACAAACATAACCTCAAGAGATAAGTATTTCAGAGGAATGCGGATTAAAAATAATATGACACCTGTTGAGGCTACAGTCAAATGGAACAAATATTTCAATCGGCAGGACAGTAAAATGTTATGAATTACGCCCGCAGAGTCAATCTAAATAGCTAAGTTCCGAAAGTGTAGTCCCCAGCCAGGCAATGTTGTCAGCGGACAACACAAAGTTACAAGAACAAAATATCGACATTTTCACAAAAAATAAACCAAAAATAGACAAAAAACCCAATTTTTTGGCCAATATTTTTTCCACAAAACGGAGTTTTGAGGGCGATTTAGCAAATTGTCTACGGTAACTAGCCTGCTGAAATGCCACCCGGGGGGAATAGGCCATCGACAAAAAAACAGCATTTTACCTTATTTTTCCCCAAAGACTTTCAAAATATAAGCGTGCAGAAGTACATCAAACGCAGGGCTATCAAAATTTTGAAATACACACAAAATAAAAGGAAAAGTAAAGTTCTAGAAAATTTTTGACTGAATCGGGTACTGTTGTCAGGAGACAACAACTCTTTAGAGAGGCAGATATACAAAAGAAATACGCGAGATATGAACCAAATCTTGTCTCCCAGAGCTCGTCTACCATTTTTCCTACCAAGAAACGCGGATTGAAGCATAAATTAACCCTCACCTGGTAACGAAGAGCTTATTCCAAATGGCGGCAAAATGGCGTGTCCACAGCCGCTTGCCGGACCTTTATTTTGATGGCACACACACTCGAAGGTCACCCGGACACGTTCGATATCTCGAAGATCGACTAAAACCTTCATCGACTATCGATTCATGATGACAAATGGGCACTACATTTAAAACTTAAGGCTCAGCTACCTGGGAAATAAGACGTTGTTGGACGACAACATCACCCGTTAAGGGGTTAACTGGGTGATGAAAAGAGTTATCTCAATGCTAAAAACATGCTCTTTTAAATCTCAGATCACCCATAAATCATTTCCGTCTCTGCTCTGTTGCCTAAGCCACATCTTGCAAGTTTTGAAACGATCATTTTCAGCCATAAGTTCGCATAGTCACAGCTTGTCAATTTGATGGGCTCAAGCCAATCCCCTTCCACTAAATCAAACAATCACTAGATAAATTCTCAACGCACCACATTGAAGCAATCCTCCAATTGAGGCTGCAGTCAAAACAGTGTGGAATCACTATCACCACTAACTTGTTTAGTAAGTGTGATGACACCACAAGCCAGACTTAAATCATCTCGATGACGCTTTGACAAGCCCCGGCGTTCAGACGGGTCGACATCGTGACTCTCGCCGCTCAGTTATCCAAGGCGATGTCATCGAATCCATCGAAGTATAACTTGAAATATCCGTGCAAAGATTTGGGTAAAAACTCCTCACAGCCAAAACACCAGCCATTTTGTGTTTGAAAAAGGAAGTAAACAAATGTCACCGCCCGCTAAGAACATTCCAATGGCTACCACCTGTTGCTTCAACCACCAAAATTTAAAATTTCACCGAGTCAGAAAACTTTTTTGACAGAAATGAAGAAGTATTAACGAAATCAAGTTAAAAGTTTATCAGTTTCGCAACTGCCTTCGAAACTTCGCTGTTGTGGGAATCATTTCCTTTGGTTTCTTTGTTATGTCAGCGTTGGTATACCTGCCGCATCGTCCTGCGCCGTTGGAGCTTTGATTTGTTTGAAAATTGGTGCCGGTGGAAGACTGTTTAAGACTGCGAAGGTCTGTCGATTACCTCGCTGATTATCTAGTTCAAAATGATTGAGGTTGTGGTGCTGGTCGAAGGCAGAGTGAAGGCGCTGAAGTGCGAGCCGACCGTCCTGGCGTTTCGGGAGTCCTTCGTGGCGATGTGCCGAAGAGACCCCGTTTTCACCAGGCGCTTGGTCACCCACCATCCAACGTTCTACGCGATGCATCCAGAGCTTAACCAGGAAGTGGAGTCGGAGGATGAAGACACTCTGACTGCGGCGCAGCCGGCCACCGTCAGATTCGCTGCATTCGCTGCACGTGTGAGTACACCATAAGGGATGTAAAGGATGGACTTTGATAGGATTGTGTCGCTCTCTGTCTCTCTCGCTCTTCAACAGAACACCCCACAAGTGCGAGAGAGACAGCACGACAATGAGTTTGAAATCACAGGGCTGAGCGATCTGCTTACCTAGGCAAAACAAAGCCAGCGATTTCACACCTCCACACAGGCGCGTAGGAACGCCAAAAAAGTGGGGTGGGGGGGGTGTGTCAATGCATTGCATGTTGCCTTCCTCGCAGGGGATTGACCCGGGGCAGCTCAAAAACTGGGGTCAGCTGACCCTCTGACCCGGTGCTTGCTACGCCACTGCCTCCACAGCCACCCAACTCCCCCAGTCTCCAGCCCCAAGGATTTTTCCAGTTATGAAAGAAATGGCTTATTGGGGATAGGTGGGGAGCTAGACAGATGCAAAATCAGCAGCAGTTTAAAAAAATATTTTTCCAATTTAAAATTAATGGTGAACAACAAAACAGTGCAGCAATACTTCCAAAACTTTTTAGAAAAAAAGGGAAAAAAACATTTATAATAAGTATAAAATATCTGTTGCAGGAAAATGAAGCAACCAAGGCTCCAGCAAGGGCTCCAGATGATGAAGGGCAAGAATACTATAGTTCAATTGGTAACAATTATATTTCTTTGATAATCGTAAAAGGGTTTTTGCCTGATAAGAATGAACTATTCCGCTGATTTTGTAAATTAAGGTGTGAAAGTGACGTCTCGCAGCAATGCTTCAGCCCGGTGCAGTGGTGGAAGCAGCAGTGCAGCAAGCAGCAGCACAACAAGCATTGCTTCAGGCCAACGCATTGCTCAAAGCATGAGTGCAGCAAGCAGCAGCTCAAAGAGCATTGTTTTAAGCCATCGCAATGGTCCAGGCAGTGCAGCAAGCAGCAGCACACAGTGGGCTGAGATTCGCAAAACCGACATTTAATCCAGTTTTTCAAAGTTATTTTTTGCATCGGATTTGTACGAGATGGTGTTCTAAAAGGTTCAGGCTTCAAGGAAATGAACATACCAGCTAGATATACTAGCCGTATCACAGTGAGAATGGCACCTGAAAACTTTGTATTTTGAGGCTTTTGACGTTCCGCTTGTGGATCATAAAAATGACACATATGCCGAAACGATTTTCGGCCAGCCTTGTCGTATTTTTCGGCCCGGTTTTCAACGTGACCTCTTGTTTAGGTATCACACTGAACATGTGGACATAAACTAGACTCAATTTTTCCTCGGTGGCATGTGTTCACACCAATTTTAGAAACTAGTTAAATCTGCGAATTTAAGGTTTTTTCTTAATATTGAACTTGAGTTTCAAAACGACTCCTACTTGTCCCGACGGAGATCTCTACGCCTAAAGGTACATTGGACCCTCCTCTACTAGGGCCAGTTTCAATCAAAGGCTCATCGAGGCTCCAACGGGAATGCGACTCGTCTAACCCCACCACTTTTTACACAAATTCACAGATTCTGTCCTTATTTTTGTTCATAATCGCATATTTTTGCGTATTTTGTCGGTGTTTATGGCATTGGAAGCCTTTTGCTTTCAATCTTCATTGTTTTCATGTAAAATCTGACGGTTTTTAAGAATTTGTTAAAAAACAATTTTGAGTCAAAATTTATATTTTTTTACGTTTTTTGCTAATTTTGATTTTGGAAGTACCCTGTTAGGTCTGCTTTCCTATTTTTGACCTGGACTCTGTTTTCAAATGGGCACTGATGGCAAAAAATAAATTTTTGAACACTTTTTGTCACTATTGCAAGGTACACTACCCTGTACACTAAAAAACGTAAGCAGATCGATAGAGCGTCTTAAGACGAATCGATCGGTACTAAAATGATAGCAAAAGTGCAACCCAGTCGGTCACAATCGAATTAAATGTCAGATTTTGCTCCGCCAACCCACTGTGCAGCACAACCTCGAGCACAACAAAGCAAGAGAAGCAAGAGAAAACACAACGTAAGCAGCTACATTGCAACAGTTTTTTATTTGAAGACTTTGTTTCACTATTTAAAATTTTCCATGCATTGCAGGAATGATGTCACAACTGCAACTACCAAAAAAAAAGGCAGGCACAATTTCAAAGTCAAGGAAGAGGTAGTGTGACGGTGGTCACGCGGGGACCGCCCAGCCGAAAAGTGCAAGCGCAGGCAGATGCTCGGGAAGGTAGGGAACCGACTGGCGAGCCGTGCCGGGACTCGGCAGTCGGTGTGAGGCCTGCCAGCGGCAAAGACCAAACCAAGTGTCGGGAGTGCTGAGAGCTTGTATCAAGGTAACCGGACTCTTTCCTTATTCTACAACCCTCACACCCGAGTAACCCCCTGACCATCAGAGAGCTACATCCCTGACAAGTGCTCGCGCCCACTAAACTGCCTGCTGGGTCCGGGACTTGAACATGGTGGAGGTGCTGAGGGTTTTAGTTTTAGGCTTCACTTGGGTGGGTACCACACCGGCTCACTTTAGGTTAAGGAACGACCAGCGCCACCGTCTGGCCGGTCAGCGGGGTCGTTTAGGTTTAAGGTTTTTAGTTTTAGGCCCGCGCCGCGCCTGTGTGTTCGCGAAAAGCCGACAGGCCGGAGGCTAATTGGGCAAGGTTCTAGTTTTAGGCCCGCGCCGCGCCTGTGTGTTCGCGAAAAGCCGACAGGCCGGAGGCTAATTGGGCAAGGTTCTAGTTTTAGGCCCGCGCCGCA